CCCTTCCCTCATCAAATTCAAGTCCAGGGTGTACTTTCCTAACTCCACCCCCGCATGCTCAGATAGCGTCTCTGTATTTCTTCCAGGTCACTTGTGCCTGCTTCCAGTTCCTGTATGCTTTCTTTTTATGTTTGAGTTTAGTTAGTAACTCCTTGGTCATCCGTGCAGGTCTCCTGCCACCTTTGCTTGTTTTCCTGCTCATCAGGATGGACCATTCTTGAGCGTGGAGGTGGTCCTTGAAAGAAATCAAGATGATTGACATCACTAGAATATATTCAAAGCTCTAACTTTTAAAATTAAGTGAGAAACGCAAAGGCAACTGTTAAGAAGACAGAGCACTACTATGAAGGACTAGAACTGCAGCACCAGATTTTAGAAAGTCCAAACCTTTGGGGGCTATGTCGGATACTGCAGCCTATTATTTTTCAAAAATGTCAATGTGAAATAAAGCAGAAGCTTCTCAAGATACCATTTCAGTATTGTATCAGCCAGGATTATGGACACCTAGCTGGTCTCATACTTGTTTGACTATGAGGGCATGGAGTATCCTCATCAAAACAGCCATTAATAAAGCTTCTCCCCATCTTCCATTTTAAATGTTTAAAAGACTGTGCAGCACAGTGCCCTGTGCAATCACCTAAAAGAATCAGTGGAAGTAAAATATATACATACATATAGATATAAATGAATCCATGGACTGGCAGATTACTGAGAAACCATCCTCATCTGTCCTATGTATCCAAAGCTCTCAAGTCCCAACCACAGGCTCTTCCATTTCAGCAGATTAAATTCCCATTTATGAAGTACTCTACTTCTTCACCATGAAAAAGCTGCCATTTAATTAGCATACCTTCTGAAACTGGTAGGACAAGTAGTCACTTCCAGAACTTCATGTAAAGGATGCTGTCTGTCTATCCCTAGTAAAACTGTCTGCTGTTTCTCTCCCTCACTTCCATTCCCTCTGCTCTGATCATGCTTCCAGTATTAGTGTCCATATGTCAGATCGATTCTTGACGATAACTTTCACAAAAAGGCAGATCTGGTCTATCAGACACCCCTGCTGAAAGGGGTGGTCCTAACCCATTAACTCCTCACACTTACACTCATTACCTTATGCCTGCCCTTGTATCTGTGTGATGCTGTCTGTGCGATGCTGTGGAGAACCAGTTCAACTCACTAAGCCAGCCAGTGGGAATCTAACTCATTCTTTTTTTTCGTTTGTGGGGTTTTTTTTTTTTTTTTTTTTTTTTTACATTCTTTTGCATTAGTGATAGGAATAAGTTAATTAAAGGATGTGGGAATTGGACAACCACCATAGACCGTGGAAGTTAGGGACAACATAATCTTTCCTGTGGCAGCAACTCAAGTACCCTGCGAAGCTTGCAGTTATCTAACCACTTTCTTCCATACAGTCTTGTACATATAGTAGGGCTTCTGTCAACTCACCTCCTGAGCCTTATTCTATAAACTCAGTCCTTACAGTAAGTGTTTTCTGCTTTATTGCCTACACTGATGCAAGTGTATCAACTATATATATAAACTGCATATGTTGATTACAATTCTTTCCTTCTTTAGATTAAAAACAGGAAATAAATGTCTACTGACAACCTACTTTGAAGGTAAGTGCCCCAGAAATGGACAGCTCCTCTTAGGTTTGGAAGCCTCCTACAAACTTTAGAGGTATTACTACAAATAACTGACTTCAGGTATACCAGTTTTCTCCACAACAATGAATTCTGATGATTCACGTGATTCTCAGCTTCCCATACTAGGCAGGCACCTATTGCTCAGGGAATGAGCAATAAATGAACAACTGAATAGCCAGCTGAGAAACAATAAAGCATCACTGAGAAGACTCTTCATTTGATATTACTGTTGAAGGCACATAATTTACCATTAGAGCTCTACCAGAGGGCAAGAATATTCATGAAAAATTGGAACCCACACTAGAAATCACAGCTAAATGATGACAATCTGGGAATTCTAGCAGTTGGTTCATATATTAAAACAGTAAATCCCTTCTAAAAGTAAACTGAAAACTTATGCAACAAAACAAATATGCACATAGATGAACATATACTAAAGAGAAAGACTATTTGTAAATTTAACTTATAACAAAGTGGATGTGATTCATGTACACTGACACCTTAACAAGGCAAAAGAAAACAGCATAAAATTCAACCAGGCCAAAGAATAATACCAAGGAATTGGGGACAATACGTTGGATATACATGATAAACAGTTAACTTTTCAAAGCAAGAGATTACAGTATATTGGAATATTACTTTAACTAAAATGGTACTGCCTTATGAATGGGTAGTGGTAGTTTAGAAATATTCTGGTTGGACTTTTCTACTTCCTGACTGCCTAACCAGCAGGGCCCTGGGGCACAGAAGTGGCTCTCTGTGGGCAATGACAAGCCACATGACAACAGTCCTTAGACCAAAAAGAGCAATTATAGGGTATTCTTGCTCCGTACCCGCAATGTGAATTGACATGTTCAGTGCCATTGTGTAGTTAAGTGGCTAATCCCTAAAAAAAAAAAATCTCTGCTCAGCATGTATGAAATGAGATTTCCAGAAATTTATACTTTCACCAAGTTTCAGCAGAACTTCACAAATATTTTCACATCATAGGATTGATAACTGATGGAGCAAAACCCTCCAAATTAGAGGCACTCCAAAACACTTGCAGTCTTTTTTTTTTATGGTAAACAAAAAGAACGGATTTTCCTCTCAACCTTGACTGAGAAGAAACAATTGTTTGTTCTACAGCTTCCGTTCCTCCTCCTCCAGCAAAATGAGCCCCCTGAAAAAGCCAGAGATGGAATTTTCCATATAAGTAGTTTACAGTTCAGTGAAGTTATAACTAAGTGTTTTATAACAGAAAACGTCAATCAGCTTTAATTGCAGGAGTGTTGTTACCACATTATAGGAAAACTATTCATAACATGTAAGAATTCAAGTAACAGAAAATGAAAAAACAACTCCTCCAAATTTGTTGCAGATATCAAAGCATTTTGGGGGAAGAAAGTTCAGAATTCAACCAGTTGCTGATTTGCAAGCCAAGAGCTGCTCCATTCTGTGTCTCAGATGAGCTGAAACTCCAAAATTTGGCCTTACCACAGTGTCCCAACATTTCCAATTCCATGTTTTTTTTTTTTTTCACCCTCAGAACTATTTTCTTTTCAAAATAGGCCTGGTAATCACTGTAGATGATGTCTTTACCGTACTTTTAACTCAGAATTCCTGCACTTCTGTAAAACACCTGAGATTAGTTTAGTCAAGGCTAAAGGGCCAGGTGCAATGTGAACACATTCTAGATTTCTGCATTTACCAGTGTACCACTAGAGGGTTCACAGTTCCTCCCTTTGAAACGGCACAAGGCTTTCTAACCAGCTATACCTGCCTTTCAGAAGAACTGTGAAGAAGGAACTAGAGTATCTTTACAGTTACCATGTCCTCATTGCTAAGCAGATAGTTTCCTGCATGAAGCAAAAACTCAAATCATTTTCCAGCCTACCTCTCCCACCACGAAGGCTAGCTCACACATACTTGTGCACCTCTAAGCCTAGCTCAAAGGCTTTCCTGTGTGAATGGGAATCAGGAATGGCCTAAAACTCAGGCTTTCAGATGCAATGAAGGGTATCTCCTGTAAAGAGCAGACAGCAGACGTACCAATTCACTTCCCTTTTCTTCAAAGAACGTTCTTCTTCATTATACTGCTTCAACATAGAGAACACTATATGCATGAAAGAGACATACTAAAAGGGCCACACAAATATTCATCAACCCTTTGTCAACTTATTCGACTTATTCAATATTTTAGAACCTACGGAATATCACTGTATTGACAGCTTCTAAGACAAAAGAACAATAATAAAAACTGAAGTGCTTTTATTAACAACAATAAACTACCAGAGGCTGAGAAGAATGAGGAGCTTCTTTTGGTGAGTCCATTTTTAACATAAGGAGGTTTTGTTTTAAAACACAAGCATAATGCAGTTCAGTGGACAGTCTGGTGATGCTTCTTCTTGAAACCGAAACACACACTTAAGAAGCCTTCCTGAACGATTAAGAAACAAACTAAAAGGTTTTAATATAAAACAAAAAAATCTTAAAAGTAGTTTAACACTCATTACCTGGCATAAAACAACCAGTAGTTTATGTTTTCATAAAAAGGAACCTGTTTTTTCTAAAAAACAGAAAAATTTATAGTACAATCTGACTTATATTTTCAGTGAAAATCATGCTACATCTAAGGTAGAACAAAAAAGTAGTAACAGAAGCAGATGTGTAGTTTATACATATTAATGTAAAGTATCCTATTACACTAATGAAACTATTTTAAATGCTTTTCTTCTTATGGAACTTCAAAACAAGCTCTAGCATATAATAACAATTTCCAGTTCTTTCGTCTTCTACTAATGTATTTTAAGAACATTCAAAACAAATTCTTGGACACATATCAAGGTAAAGAGTTTTCACTTGTATGCATACTTTTCTTTTTTGAAAGAGATACAGAATAAAGTCCTTATTCTCTTGTGGTCAGAGAGCCTGCTGAGTTACAAATAAGGTATACAACAAATAATATAAATCCCTTTTACTTTTCATGTTTTCATTGCCTATTATAGCTAACATTCAGAGTTTCCTTTAGATTGAATTTCGGTTATTCCTGTGTCTTCTTACTTTGTTTTTGTTTTTTAATATATGTAATTTCTATTTGGAGGAAAAAATGGTGAAAAGATGGGGTCTTCGTGGAGTAATGAAAGGAAATAAGTTAGCTGTTTATTTAACTACTACTACATTGCTAATATCTTACTTCAAGGTGAACTAACCCCTGACAGCATGAGGAAGAATCATAAGTAATTTAAAAATTGTTCATGAGGTACATAAATAAGCCTCAATTCAGGTTGTACGTGAAAAGGAAGTTCTTAACTGACATTGACTGAAATAGGTATGACATAAAACATGTTATGCTTCCAAAGAATAGATATTTACCTTTGTTGCAAGTTGTGACACTGAAGATGAAACTTCATCGTGAAGAAACTGGTCTTTATTCTCAAAAAAGGATAAAGATAAAAAAGGCACCATGGTCAGTTTCAGCTTGACAATAAACAATGACATATTTCAGACAATTCGCAATGCTTCTATTTGATTCAGCCCATCAGAATAGAAAACTATCAAAATATGGTCACAATACAAAACTAACTGAACACCACCACTAACTAAAATAATAACAAAATTACATTTAGAATGATGAGAAATGCTTCACCAGAAGTAAAAACAAAATCAAATCCCCATAACAACAAAAAAATCCACAAAAGCAAGCTCAAAAAAGTTGCAACAATTTTAATACAACATTCTAAAAATAATTCTTAAATGAGTAATTGTTTCTGTATTTTTATCATGCACGTTCACTTTCTGAATACCATATTAGATGGTAGTCCATACAGTGTCTAAAGTTTGGGGGGTTTTCCCCTCCTAAAATTATCTTCTCTGTCCAGTTAAGGAGAGTTAAGTTCCTTAACTTAAGGACAACCTTTTGCCCAAATCCCTTCCCCCCCATTTACAGCTTTAGATTTCCAGAGAAACCCGCATCCTGAAGACATTAGTGATGGTAGTTCAGTAAGGCAGCATTTGTGCCCGTCCCCGAATTAAGTCGCTATCTCAACACATTCACGGCATCATGTTACTAGCAACGTACTCTTCAAGACAAGACAAGAAAGATCAATGTCAAGAGTACTTCAGAGGCCAAAGAAGGATATGAAAAGTGGGAGAGAGTATACAGGAATTAAATATTTTTAATTTTTCAATCTGTGTTTTAATGAGAAAAAAATTACTTTTTTTTTTGATATACATATACATCCAAATACAAACAGGTCCAAATATAAAATATGAACAGCTGTCTCTAACTGAAATCATTTAGCAGCAATTTTCTCCCTCCAAAAAAAAACCCCAAAATTATAGAGTAGTTTATGGAAAACATCTTCAAAGTGTTGATTTCACAGACTCTCCAGTACTTACTTCAGTTCAGTTTTTGTTTATGACAGTCAGTTACTATTTCAAAAATCAAATTTATCAACTTTTTCCCCCCTCCTCAACTAAAGTAAAGGCTAAGAAGTTGATACGCTCATTGCTTACTAAGCTCAATTTTTTTAAAGTAACTCCATTTAAACAAAAACATTCCTCCACACAAACACACCCTAACACACAGGGAATGCATGGCAGTCCAACTCCCACACATTTCCAAAGACCTGAACCCTTGCTGATGCTATTAGTAAAGGGAATGAGGTTGTCTGCCTAAGAATCTTCCAAATTGTTTAAGTGTTACAGATAGGTCTTTAGATATTTCTTATTGTCAGAGGGCCCAATTGTATCATCTTCACCTTTGAAAAACTAGCTTCAGATCTCACGCATCTTTTTTTTTTTTTTTGTTATATTGCCTATTAACATTTCCCTTTGTAGGCAATACTTCATATTATACGCATGGACAAGGATGGAATTAGGAGCATTTCTACAACCACTATGAAGACTATCATACTACAGTTCAGTTCCAACTGTATTTTGGAAATGCCTTGGAATTACTTCTTGGGATAGGATACAAGGTCAGGAGGAACTCCTATAATTATCTAAAATGAGGATATCACTTTCTGTGAATCTTAACAAGTTATTTAACTTGCAGATTTCGGTTAGCTGCCTTTAACACAGGAGGATATTACTGTAGATGGGATACGACAAAGAATGTCAAAGTTTAGATTTGTTCAAGATTCTAACATGAAATTCAGTTACGGGTTTATTTGTTTGTTTGTTTTTGATTTTAAAGTGAATCATTAGGAATGTTTTAAACAGAAACCCACACATACATACAATTTCAGATGTTTCCTGCGTTTTGGCCAACACTATCAGCTGTCCAACTTTTGCATGAAGTTGCAAAGCCTTAGCTTCATAGTATCTCTGCTTGGACACAGGACAACAGCTACAGAATACTTCATCTAATCATTCCAAATTTTTACCAAAAAGAAAAAAAAATCCAAGCACTATAAAAGTCCCAAGGGAAAGTACGAGTAAGACTACGAGCAATGATCACAGACGTCCAGAGCTGTCACAGCTGCCAGTTCCAGCTACCAATATCATTGTCTCCAAAACAAACAAAATCATAGGCACTAGCACCTTCCAGAGTAACGACACCTCTTAATTTTAATTCTCTCAGTTCTCAGAATATCTTAAGAAGGGTATAAAAGCATGGAAGTGCATAAGCAAAGTTGATGCTCTACTATGAAAAAGATGGAAGCGTGAAGGCATATCGCCTCTAGCAAGCCACAGGGTGAGGAAAGAAAAGTGGGAAGCAGCTTCTATATTGCAAGCTTTTGCGGGAAAAGACGAGAGATGCAATGAGCACACGTGGATATGGAACCAGTTTACGAATATAATAAACTGTAAAAAACATCTTTGATGAAAGATGTAATTCAAAATAAATGGTAGGCAAAAAGTTTTTTTTTTTCCTTCCCTAAAGCGTGACAACTACGACTGTGTTTTTTGTTAATATATTCACATACAATGCTATATACTATGCACAAGTAATGAAGCCGTAGCTTACAGTATTCTCACATAGTGGAGGGCTGACATAAGGAAGAAAACATAAAGTTAAAAGATATAAAGACTAAAAGATATGAAACCCTCAGGAAAACAACTGGTGAGAATCAGTTACTTAAAATACTTTTTTCCAGAGTGGAACAATTACCAATTTCAAGAAGCCAAGTAGATCTATAAAGGAAGACATTCCTTTTAAGATTTGTTTCCTGAGAGAAGGAGAGCTAGACAGTTTTGCTGTGTCTGTGATGCCCAGCCACATGCCCCACACGCTTGCAGTAATTCTTGACTGAAATTGGCCAGTAGGTTTCAATTTAGCAGTATTAAAGATTTCTAACCATTTTGTGAAATACCTATGGCTAGGGAAGGCAGAGAAAATCAAATTAATGTCTCACAACAGGAAAACACTGTGGCAGGAGCAAAGGCTGCCACTGCACATGCTGACCCTGGCACAGCTCTCGGGGAAGGACCTCAGAGGCTGCAGGTTAGGGACGGACTGCAGATAAAAAAAAAAATGACAGCGCGAGGAAGGGAACTGGAGCTACTGGTGAGAAGATCTAAGCAGAAATGGCATGAAATCATACACAACTTCTTCTGATATGTATTCTCGACTTTTGTTAGCATTCAAAGTTTGGGCATCTGACAATTTATTTTTCAATTTTTTTTTAGGGGAAAAAAAATGTACTGTAGAGCTATTTGTAAAACGTCAAAACAAACTTACTTTATCGTACCACATAACGAATGCTGACACTCTGATCACTTCTGAATTACTTCAGTGCATTGTTAGTCTAACTAGCTTACAGTTATAACAATTCATTTTTACTTGAATTTAAAAGAAAAATTTGAACTACATTCTTGTAACATCTAGTAACCAAGTAGGTAATAAATGCTAGCACTAGTGGGAAATGCTGACCAACAACTTGAATAGCCTTCCAGTTCTGGCAAGGGAATGTTGGTATGCGCAGTGTGTTTTCATAAGGAAACAAGCGCCCTTTTGTTGGACATACTGCAAACCATAAGGTACTCAAGGGATTAATTCAACTAGCACACAAACCTTTTTGTACAGAGATCAAAATTGTAATCTACTTCCCTCAGCTTCCTTTGTGGTAAAGTAATTAATTAGTCGCTTTAGATCATTCACTTTAATAAATCAGTCCAAGATGAGAAACACCGGACTTCAAAGAGTTAAAGCAAATAATAGCATCCTCTCACCCTGCATGCCCTTCTTTTGCTCTAGTACATAAAATGATATATTATTGATTTTCTCCAGGCAGCTGAGGAACCTATGCTAGATGTCAAAGCTGAAAATACGTAAGACTAAACAAGTTTTTATTTTAAGAGTAAGTCCTTTCGGTGTAATTTACTGCTCTCCTACTGTCCTATTAAATCCCATCTGCTTATTGCCATGGCTCATCAAGGACTAACCATAATTTAAAGTCTAGGTAACCATGACTGTAAATGAAGATTAGATTATGAAGCACAGACGTACACCTTAAGCGAAAATAAAATAAAACAAGACATATACCACCTCAAGAGATGCACTCCAGGGTAGAATTTAACACAATTCCCACTATTACACAACCCCCCGCCCCCCAATAATTTAGCAATCAGAGATGTGTAGGAAAAAAAAAAAAAAAAAAAAAAAAAAAAAAAAAAAAAAAAAAAAAAAAAAAAATCACTCAGGAAATTACAAAACCTGAAAGTTAACCTCTGAAGTTGGAAAGAGTCCCAAAACACTGATTACAAACCAAAGAGTAGAACAACTGTATGTACACAGACCGATCAGAGACAGTCAGCACAGATTCAGAAGAGGTGAGCACCCTGCTGGATTACTATCTTAAAACACAGCTAACAAAAATGCATAGCTTCCTTGACTTCAAGGAGGACTTTGATATAACATCAAAGGAAATAAACAAGATTAAAGCAGATTATTAATGCAAAAGTCACCCTGCTTTTTTAGTTTTATAACTGAAACAAAAGCAGCAGACAATGCAAAGTGTACTCAAATTAAAGTAAGAGGGAAGTCATCAGCAGAAGCTCAGTAGCATTGGGTCACATTTTCTTTTTCATACATAGATACACTTGGAAAATCCAGTATGTGGATATATGTTTTCAAAGTCATGAAATTGAGACAGCTTTCAGAACAGTTATTACATGTAAATGGACATACAGATAGCTATACTATTTTTAATATACTTTTAACACAGCTGAAAAATAGAATTGAACTGTATCTTAAAACTCGCACAAAACTGAGTATGCACTTCAAGAAAAGGAGGTTTGCATTTTTAACAAATAAAAGATATATTACTCAGTCATATACAGGGACTGTCTTCTGGGACACAAGGCTGCGTGCTCAGCAGATACTAACTCTCATGCTTAACTGTGAATTTCCTCTGCTCCTCTCTGGCAGAGGTAATACAGATGAAGACCATTTCATTAATCTCGCCCTTATTTCATCTACTGCTATACCTCAAACTTCCATTTGTACGTCCTTAAAATAAGCAAATGAGCCAAACTAGTGATTTGGGCAGATGACGTAATTTGAAATTTTCCTATTACTATCACCAATGAAAAATACTAAACTAGGCATTTCTAAAGTTTGTTCATGCTCAAGGCTAATTTGGTATTTTAACTGTTTTTTTCTCATATATAAAAAACACTTTTCCACTCCAAATCACTCATTAAACTTAGAAAGCATCTACATTATAACAATAAACCATATAAAATACCATTGTGACTACTACACTGCAAGTTTCCTCTGCCAGTCTTTGGCAAAATGGAGAGTACCTTTTCCTTTTCTTTGCGGACAAAACAAAGCCTAAATATGTTAAATAAGTAGACTTTCATTGTTGTATGTATGTAACACTAATCTCGAAATATGCTTCTAAAATATAATTAATCAGCCCATTTTTAGAAGAACTTATTTCGCTCCACTGACTTTAAGAAGTCCAGGTGACTATTTCAGATGCAGCAGACAACCTACCCTATGTATTAAAAATGGTTCCATCTTCTAGGTCCCAGTCTTTTTTAACTACTTTTTACTGACCAGATTTGAGTTCAAGATAAAAAGGAGCTTTCCTATCTTTTCATCTTTTAAATTATTATCAAAATTGAAAAAATTAAAATTAAGAAGATACACTTTCCTCCTACAAAAGATCCCACAGCTGTCAAAAGCTGGTTTAACGTCTTCATAAATTCTGTTTCTAAGTTTTAACCACTGATTCTTCCAGTTA